CTGACACATGTATTTGTACTTAAGGGGTCGACAGGGGTATAGTTCAGTGAAATGGACACACCACAAATTACTCAGGGAGAAAACAGTGTCGAAATCACCCTGGTGAAAGGTTAAAGGTTTCTGCCGAAGCTATACAATAGTCCACTGTCCACTTACAGGTTAACTTCCCGTGTTTCTTATCACAGCCGAGACGGCTATTAGCGATAATTAATTCCAGTATTCTTACATAAGTTTCACAGCTTTCTCCCGTAGTTGTCAGACGATTTGTCCGTTGCAGCACGGTCAGGTGAAATACTTTTATTTTCAAGTACTTAAATACTCGAACATAATATATCACAGTCAATATTGTCTTTCGTCATGAAAAAATCAGTAGGTCTTTTGAGTACGACGACGAAGTGTCATCTCTCAGAGACGGTTGATGGACGGACAACAATCATGCCATTATAGAAGCTATAAAACTTTAAGCGTATTTATAGTAATATTTCTTTCTCTGAACTTCACACATCACAGATGTCTTCATTTGGAGTGGATGTGGTGGACCATTTTGACCATCTTTTATTACACTTCTTTAGGAATTGGAAGGTGTCAAGTTTTGCTTTCAAGTAATGATATCACTTTTCAGTGATCCAATGATATAATTTTCACAACTTTGTTTGCTAACATTTTGGCTTTTACACCAAATGGAATCTGTTTCGGCAGATAATCGAGACTGAATATTCTCTGTCGTTCTATATTAATGAGATATCGATGACATATTGGCCTACCTCTAATGTTTGTATTTCATGTTTTATGTTCAGTATCTAATAACCATAATTTCATTAACAAAAACAAACGGAAGCAGTGATGAATAAATAAATGTTTCATAAAAAGCAATGTATGTGTGAACTATGAAAACTTGTTGCCATATGCATACTATGCTTTTGACATTCCACGCCAGATGGAATCTGTTTAAGGTTGAATATTCTCTGTTGATGACGTTCTGTACATATGAGCTTTCGATAATGAGATATTGACGTGATTCTTCTGTCTGTATTTCATTATGCCATGTGTATATTCTTTATCTAATGACAATAATAGCTTTTACAAAAGCAAAAAGAAGCAGTGATGTTTAATATTTCGTATAAAAGTGAAATATGTCTCTATGTGCTTTGTTTCACAATAGAAACGCGTTGTGATATGCATACTATGAGTGAGTGAGTGAGTATGGTTTTACGCCGCTTTTAGCAATATTCCAGCAATATCACGGCGGGGGACACCAGAAATCGGCTTCACACATTGTACCCATGTCGGGAATCGAACCCGGGTCTTCGGCGTGACGAGCGAACGCTTGAACCACTAGGCTACCCAACCGCCCCTGCATACTATGATTTTAATACTAGGTTCCGGAGATGTGGTGTACCTTTAATGATTGGTCACAGTTTCTGTCTCGTGCTTGCAGACGATTCATCACAATTCATCAGCATGCCGACAACCATACGACAGACAACCAACAGACACTCCCGTGATAATACATTTTAACATTTCTATTTACCAGCAAACGTGTAAGCCATTCTCTTTAAAGGTAATATAAACAAATAAAGTGACAAAACCCTTTCCATATCCAATAGAAATCTCTGTATAAAGCAGAATCGATTGTACGATTCATACAGTATCAGGAGCAGGTGTTTATGAATCACTATCAAATAGTAATGATACCAGGTGTTCGCAAAACGGCGAGCGTATCCTGCCAAACGGTGGCATCTGTCACAAACACACACAAAGGCAAGTCAATTGTTCGCCTGAAAAAACAACACGGGAACATATGGTACAAGTCACAATAGGGAATTGCATCGGACATCATTTTAGTCACTGATGCGTCAAATTCGGAAATGTCCTCCATGTATCTACCATAACACTTTTTGAAAGTTACTGATGAGGCCTTGAATGTTGTAACCTCAATCAAACAACTTCTGAGCAAGAGTCGTATGACGCTCTTTGAAATCTTCGAAGAAAGAGCGTGCTTGTATCTCAAAGGTTGTGAAATGTAAACACCTAAGGCTGGAGCTGCTGGAATATTGCTCGACGTGAAGGGAAAGTTTACTATTGGAAAACCGATGTCATCCATCTTGTCATACTGTCTTGCGGAGAGTGTTTTGTCACTCTGAATCTTTATGCAAAGGTCTAAATATGAAACGGATGAGGCGGTCTCACTAGTCTCCTTTATTTCTTGTTCAGGTGGGTAAATCAGTGGAAGGGAATTGGCTATTTGATTATTATTGAACGACATCAGACCGTCGATATACCTGAAGCTTAAGTGAAACTTCTTTGCCAAATTACCTTGTTTTGACTTTGCCATTCCGAACAGAAATTCCGATTCATATGCATAAAGAAACAGATCTGCAAGAAGGGGGGCCCAATTGGTGCCCATTGGGATGCCTACTTTTTGCCTAAATGTCCTACCCCAAAATATTACGTAGATGTTATCAATGAGGAAGTCCAGCATTTCATACGTTGTTTTCTCAGTTAACTTCAGAAGGCATTTGTTTTGTTTGTTTCCCACCGCACCAGTGCCTGCCACTATATGCCACCTAATTAGCTGCATACATTGGGCAATAAGCATACATTGACAGACAGGTTTTCACGTATTGTTATCGTGGAAACCAAACTTAACTTCAAACAGAAGGGAATGGTTGTTGTTAGGAGTCTCCAGCAAAGTATCATCACCCTACACCTTGTGGAAAGATGAGTACACAGTGAAACAAGTTGACGCGGGTTAAAGCTGCGGAGAGAGGGTTGGTTGGTTGGTTTGTTGTTTAACGCCGCACTCAGCAATATTCCAGCTATATGACGGCGGTCTGTAAATAATCGAGTCTGGATCAGACAATCCAGTGATTGGTATCAATTGGGATGTCAAGATAAAAAATTGAAAAAAAGATGAAGATGATGACACAATATGATAACGAATGGATACAGTTTATTCATGACATGATAATAGAATTGAAATATACACTGGATAGTCCAGGAAGGAAAGGGAACACTAACTATCAAAATTGAAAGCTTTAACATGTATTGACGGAAGTAAATCTGGGTGCCACTGAACATTTTCATTGATCACGGTCAGTGTTAAGTGAGTGAGTGAGTGATAGGAATTACATGTCACACAGAGGGACAATAATTTTCGAAGCTTTAACATTTAACGTCCTGGGCAAAGCATTCAATCTGACTGTTGATAACAGAATCACGCCAAATTGAAAAAAAAAACACCAAGCAATTTGTTATTCACATACATATTACAAATTTATGATACAGACCAATGGCTTTCAAGTGGCTTCGGGTGAGATGCCCGCCCTCTCGAGAAAACAGATCTTTTCAGATTTACTGTTTGATATTGTGAAAGTCATAATATGCTTGAACCTTTCATCACAAGAGATACACTTACATGTAGGAGGTTCGTCCTCACCTGTTCTATTCGCGAGTAAACGGACTGTGGCCAATACGACATCGACGCAGAACGACCTCATCATGTCTTGACTCACAACCCAGGTAGGTATGACCAAAGAGGTTTTAAGAGACTAAGATTGTTTAGAGATGAGCCCATGGCTGGCCCTTGAGATGTTCAAACTTTGTACTCTGTTGATGGCGAATTTGGAGTCTTTCGTCCTTTCAAAGGTTAGATGTACCTTCATTCTTATTGACATGGCCTTGATGTGTCTCCAACATAACATTCACCACATTCATGTATATATGATGAGGTAAACTGCACCGAAGGAGGTACATCATTCTTATTGACATGGCCTTGATGTGTCTCCAACATAACATTCACCACATTCATGTATATATGATGAGGTAAACTGCACCGAAGGAATTATCTGGTCTTGTTAAAAGTCTGCTGTTTGCTTTGACATTGTTGTGGATCCTTTGTTCCCTCTCTTGAACAGTGTTGGTTTGTGTTTAAGAAGTCGGCTGATTTGATGGATGGCTATACCTGATCACATAGAGCTGTTTGATGGCGTGAGATTGGAGACACGTCAATGCCTCTCCCAATAAGAATTAAACTTCTGTACAGAAGACTCCAAATTTGTCATCTTTTATCATATCCAGGCCACGACATCAATTGGAATAACGTCAACATACTCACCAAAAATCATACCACATACAAGATCGTTAAACATAAGAGTCATCAAGGTTATTACATCCCTACAGCCTGCCATGAGCTCATCACTAAACATTCTTAATCTCTTTGACATTGTGCATTATTTATGTCTTAATCCTTCTCATCTAAATACTGGCTTTCAGTTAACGTGCCCATACCAAACACTGTGACGTTTTACTGTCATGCCTTGTTAATCCTATTTAATCCAATGTGTACATCATAAGGCGTCATACTTCAACGTCATCTGTTGTGTTAACATCAATCTATTATCATTCAATCTTGTGTCCACATCAATTATCCACATCACATTTCTGTACATAACGGTGTTAGAATTTATTGTATTAAAGAAGTTGTATATCCACTAAAATGTATCTCCCTTGTTTATTCAGAGTCACTCTTTCATTATACAAAGTCAAACATTCGTCAAAGGAGAAACGAGAAAAGTTAAACTCCATTTCACCTCGCTTCAGCTCACCACCACCACCGACACCTGTGTACATTATTTAGCACATAATCAAGTCTGGTCATGACAAACCAGTGATTGATATAATGAACAGTGTATCACAAAGTAGAGGTAAGACCAAACAAGATCAACCACGTCATCGAACCCGACCCTCCATTTTGTCGTTTCTTACAGGCCATAGGTTGCTCGGAGCTTTTTTCACGGGATAGTTAAACAACAAACAACACATACAAATACATATGAATACAAGGGAAATTGAAGACAAAATAATTCTTTTTTCATGTTTTTCACAATTTTGAAATATGATTAAGTCACTCATAAAAAGATATACATAGGAGTCGTATATTGAATTATAGAGAAAAGAGTTAACAGTGCTTAGAGACTTGAGAAGGAGCTTTTGTAGCTTCACACAAGGCCATTCTCAAGCATCTCCTGATCTTCCTGTTGCGGCTCACTTTGTGTCTCTGACGGGTCACGTGGAGGAAGTTCCGTGTAATGGGAGAAAACTCCTACGACCAGGCAATCACTTGCCACATTTACGGCGGTGCGAAAACGATCTCTGGAGAGATAGAATGAGATGAATCAGTTGTTGATGGCACTAGTAAAAACCCACGACGTCGAGACACTCCAACTGGGTTCCAAAAGTAGACTCACAGCCCAAGTGCCAAGGCTAGCTAAATACACTGTTTATTTACAGGATATTGACCATCCCAAAACACAGAAATGTGGTAATGTCATTATCATACAATGTCATTCTTAAATTCTTTTGTCAAAAAAAAAAATTGTCATCCCTGACAATCGGTACCTAAACATTGCACATTTTCCTGGAATGCGCGCAGTAACATATTAGATTACAAGGTCAGTTTTGTTTACAGCCGGACAGTGACATCAGCCAGAAAAGTAGCTTGTTGTTCAGTCACTGATATATAATGACAACAAATACGTAACAATATGTTTCAATAAACATTTAGAAATAACAACATAAGATTTGGCTGGATTTAATTGAAAGTAATATCTACCTGACCTTCATATTGGCTTCGTTATCTGTAAATGACCCCAGCAGAAATGTACCGTTTTGTTCCATTGGCTTTATCATGTCAACATAATGTACCCTATTATGTGATAAACATTTGCTTTCAGACGGATAACGACATAGTTTCACTTTGAGAACACCAGCTAATGTAATATCAATTATCATTTTCAAACTGTAGGTTGTTTTAGGCATAATCAGAAAGGTAGTTGTGACCTCAGACAACTACCAAAAGAATAAAACAGATGACATGAAACCAAACATGAAATGTTTTCATTACACCGTATGCATATCCTTATAATTAGACCAAACATTAACATATTCTGATAAGGATAACTTACATCAACCAGTCAACAGTCACCAAGAAGGAGATGCCTCGATCCGGGAGACCAATAGAGTTTAGGACAAGCAACAACACAGCATACCCAATACCAGGAACGCCAGCAGATCCTATACTGTTCAGAACAGCTGTTAAACTGGAAAATAGTTTAGTGTGACACAAAAGTCATTAATCATGAAACTAGTTTTTCTCAATTTACATTAAAGCCTAACAACTTGTCCACAAATGCATCAAAGCTGATCGTTCTTCTGTCGACCGACCATACCTATTTTATTTCATGATCCCCTAATTTTTGGGGCGAGTATACTTCAGGACCAGATTTGTTTAATGTTTCTTATAAGAAGGTTCTATCTCATGTTTTTGCATATGTGAGAAATCTTGTTTTGATGCCACAGTCAGTTGTTGATATTACTTCCACCGTAAACAACTACATGTATGTCATAAAGATAGACCACGTCATCCAATGTATTGACCGTGCTCGTGAGTTTCACCAAATCTGTAAACGCCTGACACCTGAATCACCTCGGGCTTTCTTCCCACATTAAACTGACACGCCATGATATCACAGGAATACTGTTCAAAGCGGCGTAAAAAAACCTTACTTCGCTCACTCATTCTAAATGCATTGGACGTGTCCGAGTGCCGTGCTATATGTATTTTAAAGCCTCCTTTTAGAGTAAGAGGTCAAATGGTCTTACTACGGAATACATTACTTATCTAAACAAACTGCGTTTTCCTGACCTACAGTATTCCAGAATTCCATCAGGGTCATCAACATACCTTACAATTATTACGTCTCCAATTGACATGCTGATTCCATTGTACTGAGCTATGAACACAGGGGCGATGGCAACATACACCGCTGAGCCATCCATGTTGACTGTGGCGCCCACTGGGAGGATGAAACGGGAAATCCGTGTGTCCATCTTCATCCGCTTCTCGACGCACTGCATCGTCACCGGCAGCGTGGCAGCACTGGAAATAGATCCGACTGTTATGTAAAGCAGGCGATGCTCACCATTCTTGGTTGCAATATGATTACACTACGTGCGTTCGATAATTATATGTTGAGTAACCGAGGTTCTTATTTTTCTGACATTAACCAGTGTCAACAAGGATAATTAAGCGCAGGACCAGTAGCAAAAGACAACTTCAGATTAAATACAAAATGGCTGATAGGAGAAGGAGAAACACAACAGCAAAGATATAAAAAACAACATATCTTTCTGAATTCTAAAATTTCAAATTTGGGAAGCAATTTGGATATTTTTGTCCACAAGTTTGATATGTTTGGTTGTATCAAACTAATGTCAGAGATGTTCAGTAATTTAAAAATACAAGGTGTGGTTTTCCTTGTGCGAGACTGATTGTCCGTCAGCTAGGGTAAATGCAGAGTGGATCATACCTGCGTTTGTTCTCCGTTGACACTTGTATACAGAGTAAAAGAACTTTACTTAATATGATAAAATCAACGTTAACGGTTTCCACAAGGGTGAACCAATCAGAAGTCACCCGTGAAGATCCGGATTACAACTGATCTTCAGAAACCTATGCTTATCGCAAGAGGCAACTAACGGGATCGGGTGGTTAGGCATGGTGACTCGTGTGATGCATGTCATCGCATCCCAATTGTCTAGATCGAGGCTCATGATGTCAGTCACTGGATTGCCTGGTCCAGATTCGACCACCTTCATATAGCTGGAATACCGCTGAGTGGGGCATCAAAGAACAATTTGAAGTTCTATATTCCATACTGAATTCATATGGATTGTGGTAAAATTCCCAGTGTCGATGGTAACATGAATATTCAAATTAATGTCATATTGTGAGTGAGTATGGTTTTAGTCAGTTTTGGGGATTATTCCAGCAATATCATGAGGTGGGACACCAGATGTGGGTTCACACATTAAATTCATTTAACCACAACGGAGCTTGTGCAAATTAAAATTTAAAGTTGGAGCTACTAGTATATGTCGACTATTATAATGATTACTGTTTAATGTCGCATTAGGAATGTTCAGCGCATTACACTGTTAGTAACCTGTTTTCTGATTGCATATTGCTCATATTCTTACAGTATTCAAACACAAACAGCTGTTGCCGTCGTATAACATTCGTTTCAACATATGTATACATATTTCGAGGATAGGAACTGAGAAAGATATAGGTATAAAGGTTCATTGGTGTAGAAGTGAGCTGTAATTCATATTGCAGACTTTAGAGATCGAAAAATAAATCCAGACAGGTAATAGGTCAGGGCACGCAAACTATGTCACCCAACCTGATATCCCTATCCAAATTTCTCGTCCCTTATGAAAGGTAAGTACATCGGACCCAATCGAGACCCTGCCCCTTTGAAGTTATACTTTATAAAAATACCTAGAATCTTTGATCTGTGTCATAATTATACGGTAAAATCGTTTTGTATAATTTGACGCCATTCCTCATTATACCTGCGGTGAATATTGTTTCATTCATTGCACTTAAAACTAAAATACGACAGAGATGAATTGAACTGTGAAAATGTGTACCTGGAGCTTGTTGCAAAGGCCGTCAGCAGAGCTTGTATTGCTTTGAGATATATGGCATATGGGTTCTTTCTTGTCAGGATGAAATACAAGCCTGGAAGGACCACCAGTGAATGGATTGCCAATCCGGCCAACTCAGTTGCAATGTAGATAGCCAGTGTTTGTCCAGTCTCCGTCATGTCACTTGTGGACATTATCTGGCCCATGACGAGAAACAGTATGCCAAGTGGTGAATACCTGGAGTAATGCAATGTTGACAGAAACAGGCAGTGGACAAGCAATCAAATTAAATGCAGACATATAACTTATACAGTAATCATTGCTATTCTCTTCGTTTGGTGTTCAACGCCGCACTCGGCAATATACTGATATTTCTGATGGCCTGGAAACAATAGATTTTGGGCCAAATAAACAAGTGATTGATATAATGAGAAACGTTCCATCCCTTCCGGGAAATAAATTTGACACGCTATCAATCAAGTCACCGATGCTTACCACCACATCATTTAAGACGGCTCTTTCAACCCGCGCGTGCGTGCGTGTGAAAATATTTGTTGCAGAAGACACCCCGAAATCCTCACGGGGTGAATGTAATATATAGGCGAAATACACAAAACACTTATCATATAGGTAAATGAATGTTATTGATTACTTGTGTAAGACACTCCACAATCCTATGTTGACAAACACCCATACTGAGTCCAGCACTAACGTTTAACTGATATGAGTAATCACAATATCATTCACAGTTTCAGGATTCTGATCCTAAATGTTTTTATTCACAGACAATTTGATTATCAATTGTTGCTTTGTTAAAACAACTGTTGACACATGAATGTCATTTTATTTCCCGAAAAGTTTTATCTACCAACCACATGACAAGTCTGATCATTTTGCAGGTGACGATGTTGACGGCTGTAAAGAATTGTGTCACCACTGCTCCACGACGACCTAGCTGGCCGAGCGTCACAGCAAAAACAGTGCAGTAGGTAATGACACCTGTCAGGAGAAAGTTATGGGATAACAAAGAATCACGAACACAAAATACGGAGACCTTTAGCAGTGGAGCCGAAATCAAGAAAACGTGTAATTGTGATCTCATGGCGCATTTACAGTTTTTCTTACAAGTGTCTTTTGCTCCGTGCTCCGAACGAAACAAAGGCCGAATCTTCCAAAGTACTAAGCATTTGATATGCATGTCCCATCTCATAATGAGATTTCTGAGTAACGTTTGTTTGTTGCTCAACGGTTTTCGGAAGAACCTGTAATATCAAAATATCATATTTGTTTTTTTCACCTGACCAAAAGGATATATGGCATCACCATATAGGTGGATTATATATGGGGATCTGAGTACTGCAACATTTGGGGAAATATGTCTGACAATTTCTTCCGATATAGTGTTGCATGTGGCTGCACAGTCTCTCTGGCATTTCGCTGGAGTGAACTTATGCCATGTGTCAGATGTTAAGACGTTGCACAGAGTAATATCTTGCCTCCTGCGTTAGCGCCTACATTGTTCACATGTTGAGTATCTAACGAATATATTTGGAACGCCTCCTCTTGTGTGTGTTCATTTTCGTAGTGACGTGGTTGGCAGCATGAGTGTCACTGGTGGCGTACTTGTTTGATATTGATATTGGCTATTTGCTTGTGTTTGCTACCGTCCAATGGAGTTAGCTTGTAGGCAGGCTCTAGCGAATTGGTCACATTTAACATAATTTATTCCTCTTGTTGGACACAGTTTCCATATGGGAGGCCTTGTAACTCCATTTCATTGTGTTTGGTCCAACGCACTTGTTTCTCTATACCTCTTATCAACTCTTTAAATTAGCTTGTTGGCTTTCTGTGCAGCTTGGGGCATTAGTTCCTTATTGTTGTCTGATTTCAGATGTGTCATCAGCAATTCAGTTCTTAATTCACTGTCGTGGTGATCAAAATCAAACTTGTCACACCATTTCTCACCAGCTAATGCTGCATAATCACACTAACTGCCTGCTTGCTTGACCTTGGTAGTTGGTAAGTGCCACAGAACCTAAATCTGTCAATCACGAGAAAGCTCCTGATTGTTCTGGTATCGAAAACCCGAAGTTTGTAGATCCATATCCATGGTTTATTACCGCCTGCTTCGGATATGTGGGGTTCAATTGTGTATCTGATTACCTGCAATACTTCATCTGGAATCGATGACCTGAGCGATGATATTTCAGGTGGTTGGTACTTATAATATAATATTCAAACTTTTCAGGATCGGGGTTCTTCCTTAATCTCTATAATCAGTTTGAATACAACAGTTGTTGAACCTGACTTCAAATTCTTGAAATTCGCTGCTACATTTCCCCGAGAGTTTGAGCTAAATATAAACCAACACCACAGATACTATTTTGATGAGAATCGTGATGAGGCTTATTTCTATTATAGGTTACAAAGTATTTAATTATATTAACCTACAGCAATCCGTTTGCTGAATAATATGATATCCCTAAATGTCAAACTCTCAATACGCACACCTACGCTCGTTACTTCTAAATATGTGGATAAGGAATCTTTTTAACTCATTTGTGAGGTTCCGTTTTGATATGCATCCTTAAGATTAAGATCTGGTATGAGCAAACCTTCTATCTATATTTCCTCCATGACATTTTGTATTCAGAAATTGCATTCAACTGAAAAAAACTATTAAAAAATATGTAACTTTGAAAGTTATCTTTTAAAACTGTTCAGTCAACATTACTCGATTTAGAGCTTCGTGTCATCGCCTTTCCATTGAGAGAGGACGTTGGAATAAAATACCTATCGTTTCTGTACATTATGTATGTCCTAGGTGATGAATACCATTATTTATTTACATGTGACTAATTTAACATTAGGAATTCTTACATACCTGCATATTTCAGAAGGAAAACATTTAGGTATGCAAAATTATCTCCTTACTACAATCCCATAGACTAAGTGTTTTGGGCGAAATTTGCTTGTTCCAGTCGAGTAATTTTGTCAAAAACAAATATGCTCCTCAGTTAACCTCAACATACTATTTACATAGTATTTACATTGAGTGGAATAAAGTTCTGTTTTGTTCTCATTATCTTTGTTCTTATTTACTGAGATCGACTTAAGTAGAAATGTTAATCTTTAGATTCAATTCATGCATTCTTCATTTGGTTTGTGCGGTCAAGAATTGCATAATCGTTGGACCTCAGCCTTTAATAGAAGGAAAGGAAGTGCATAATCGTCAGCTTATGAACATGCATGACGCCTTTAATATGAACACGCTAATCATATTTGCACAAACATATTTCAAAGTGGCTTACGTAACTATTTAGCAACAACTTCTAAGAATACCTATGATATTTGCCCCATCAACCATCACTGTTTTCTTTGCCGTAACAGATTGGTTGACCTTCCTGGAATCACCACCAGTATCCTGCAGGTAACCAGAACTAGAGTTGCCATCGTCCTGTAACTTTATTCCATGAACAACCATCTCAGTGCGTGAGTGTTGGATAGTAGCAGCAACTATGTTGTCAGGAAGTATGTTTCTGGAGGACAAAATGAAAAGCGATGAGTATCAATGAATGAAAGAATGACATCGTAGTGGGTTATGTGTGGGTATCCTGCTTTATCCGGCGAAAATTTCACGTCATCTCATATCATTTCATTATATAACATGACTTAGATGTATATGACTTATTGTCGACGAATACAAAGCATCTATTAAACCTGTTTCTATTTATGTGCAGCAAATTCAAATACGACATCGCTATGTGTAGCGAAATGAAACACGGTCATGGCAGCTGTTTTCAGTACGCGATTATTTTCGCACGGAACAGTTGTAAATTCACTTATCAGTATGTTGTTGTAAGTGACAATATATTTTGTACGAAATCCACCTTTGATTCAGTTGCCTCAAATATGTATTTAACTACCATCTTGTAAGTACTGTTGAACAATGGAGATTCTGTAATTGCGCTCATGTTATTCATCCTTCAAAAATAATTTTCATCACTTCCTTCTGTGTTAACATTTTAATGCATGTATTAAACAGGAAATAACACGGATACTTACGTAGATTACTACCTTTTAGATTCATATCATGATGAGCAAATGCATAGATATTTAACATAAAGGCCCTGTAAAATTCCCGGTTAGAATTGCTCTTCAGCAACCCATGTTAGTCGTATTAGGCGACTAACAGTATCGGGTGGCCCCATTTGCGTTGGATGAGGAGACCTCTGTGGTCTAGTGATACCCAAGATACCCACTTTACATTGATTCGCAAATAAAGTGTTTAAAATTTTGGTTTAATATCATCCGTATGCCAGAACATCGGCTTCCGAAAAAAGCTTATAACATGCTCTTTCATTTAGATAGTTTCGGTAAGGTTAAATGGGTATCGCATATTAGGACACTATTATTCTCACATCGATATGGGTATATATGGCTTAACCAATCTGTTGGTGATCAACATTTATTTCTAAATGATTTTCTTAAAATGGCAATAAATATGTTCTATCAAGGGTGGCAATGCAACTTGGAAAACAGTTCACGTTATGATTTGTACAGAACATTTAAGACTTTATTAGAGCCAGAACAATATCTATCAGTTTTAACAAATAGTCACCTAAGAAATGTATATATTAAATACAGACTTGGCTTGTCAAAACTTATGATTAATTATGGACGGAATATATCACTTGAAAGAATACAAAGAATTTGTCCATTCTGTAACTCTGCTATAGAAGACGAAATACATTTTACCTTTGAATGTCCTTATTATGCAGAACTACGTACTAAATTTATACCAGAAAGTTTCGTATCTAAGATGAGTAGAATAGCGTTTGTTTCTATTTTGTCATCGAATGATGCCGACGTAATGTTTAAACTGTCTTTATTTGTAAAACACGGGGTTGAACTACGAAATAACATGTTGAGTGGGAATTCAGAATTTTAAATTCCTTACCCTAGAAAGTCCTCATGATTATCACCGATTGTTAACAAGTAACTCGTCGGCTCGGTCTGTGTATATTGTGTTTGAGTGATATCCACTTTAAACTACAGCATGGTGTCTCACTATAAAATCGTCAATAGTCCCGACAAGCAGCCACACACACTCGACATTTCATCTCAACGCGTAGATCGATGCTCATGATGTCAATCAGTGCATGTCTGGACCACATTATAGCCTTATATAGCTTAAATACTGCTGAGTGCGGCGTTAAACGACAAACGAACCAACAAACAAACCCTACCTTATCAAGTCCAAAAGGATATCCATTGTTGATGACATGGTATTATTGTGTGATATATCCGTTGTCGACGAGTCTGAGTAAGCTCCAGGTTTGATGGTCAGGACTAATGTCAAGCCAACCAGTGTTGCAGCAGCAGAGGTACTTGCATAACAAACCATAGATAACGAATAACGGACATGTCATACGTGTTACGAGTAGAAAGCTTACTTAATTATTACTATATTGTGCTGTGCTTTTTCTATGCAATATAGTGAACCGCAAAAGAACCGTCACCATGGATAGATATATGAGAAACCTTATTTGTCCAAACATTGTAAACATACTTTGAGACATAATAAAAAGATGAAACTTGGCAAAACTGATCATCAAGGTTGAAATTAAAGTGTAAAATGTTCTTAAAGTGAAACACTATTCTCTAAGAAAATGTCATCACAAGTCAGTGTCTCGTGTGTCCGCCATGTGCATTGATGACTGCCGTGCAACGTCGATACATGGAATGGATAAGGCGGTAGATGAAGGTCATAAGCACTTGAGCCCACACTCTGAGGAACGCCTGACGCAGTTCAGCTGCAGTTGTCGGCCTTGGTCGGACGTCATTCAGACGTCTTTCAATCTCTTCCCACAGGTGCTCAATGGGATTTAAATCGGGACTGAGGGCAAGCCACTGCATGGTTCGACGCCATTCTGCTGGAGGAAGTTTCTTGTTGCTCTCGCAGTGTGGGCACGGACGTTATCATGCTGAAACTCGTGGTTGCGGCGACGTGCCAAATGAGGTATGGCGTGTGGTCTCAAGACTTGATTCCACCCCACACCATGAAGCTCGGACCACCAACGAGTCTCAGTCAACAACACACGCATCTGAATAATGTTCCCAACGGCGTCGCCAGACTCTCTCTCCCTGCCATCTGAATGTTGAGATACAGTAACGGCTCTCGTCTGAGAAGAGGATTCTTCTCCACTGCTGGTGGCGCCAAAGCTGATGCTGTGTTGCCCACTGAAGACGGTCCCGGAGATGACGTGGTGTCAGAATGTGTCCTCGGTGTGGCCAGTGACAGTGGAAGTGTCTGCTCGTCAATCGTCGACGCACGGTGTCCGCACTAATGTGTCTCTGGTGTGTTCCCATGGTCTGTCGAGTCGTTTCCCCAGCAGTAACAAAGCGATCTTGAAGATGCTGTCGCACAATCTGACCATCCTGACGTCGGGTGGTGACCCATGTCGCTGATTTCTTGTCAATCTTGGCATGTGGTAGGAATTCAGTAACGCATGAATGTTATCCGATCTGGGTGGATGTTTATAGGGCAAGAAATGGGGGAACGCATGGCGATTTCAGTTTGCACGGAACTCACGTGCACCGGGTTACCATGGCCGTTGCCGTGATGCATTTGGGCGATCGGTTTTATTGTCATCCATTTTGTTTTTTCATTATCAAATTTCATTTTCCAGGAAACTTTTGGAAACTTTGACAAACATGTCCAAGATATTTAAATGACAACTTTTCATGCAATGTTCCTTGGGTGACGTTTCTATTGCGGTTCAGTATATATATATATATATATATATATATATACACACATATATATACATACATACATACATACATACATACATACATACATACATACATACATACATACATACATACATACATACATACATACATACATACATACATACATGCATGCATACATATATATATATATATATATTGTTTGTGTGTGTCTAATTTTGCTTTTCCAGAATAGAAAAGATAACATACTTTTCAAACATGTGACATCATATACTCTAATGACATACATGTAGCATTATTGATCGTGAGTAAGTCAACGTGGTATATTGCAAGGGCAGGGTTTAATTCGGTATCTGTTCCTTCTTATTATCAAAACTGAAAAGATATAACCGGAATAGAAAACGTGGCAGTTGTGATGTCATTAATGTGCAAATATCATAGGAATATATAGACAATGACGACATGTACATGTACGTCAGTACACAAATGTGTATACATGTAAGATGGTAATCTTACCTGTAATGATACTGGCTATTATTAGAGGCAGCATCAGCATCTTCAGCATACGAAGGAAAAGCTCTCCAGGTAACTGCACCAGCTGAATAGCGTCTGGGGACGGCTTGAGCATTCGGCACACCATCCCAGCAACAATTCCCAGTACAACAGCGATAATTGTGGAGATGAGGAGCATATTATGCCGGAGAAACTGTAGGACCTTCATCTGCAATTTTCACAATGTATGCTGACGAATAAACACCAAGTATGTGTGTAGTTTACACATTCACTGAACGCACATGGTGGATTGTGGAAGTATTGTTCATTTATTACACCCCCGGTTTGAAAAAAAACAATTGGGGGGATATAGCGATCAGCATGTCCGTCCGTCCGTCCGTCTGTTTTCCTTTTCCTGAGCAGAACTCCTAAACCGTTGAAGTGAACTGGTGCCTTTTGATCATGTTTTGGGAGTTGATGAAATTTCCTTTATAGAAAGTCGTTATTCTGAGGATTTAGGGTATTAGAAAATACTGAATAGCATTTTATTGAACAGAAGGCATTCAATGGCTAAAAACCAAAAGTAGGGTATAAGTATCCAAACTCCATTTCATAATTGCACAAGACCAGGGGAAAGGTAATCTCCTGATGACTTTTGTTTCAGTAGTTTAACATTATATATTCTGGTACAGGAGAGACGTATGCTGCTGTCACATCACAAACGTCACATGCAATGGGGAACCACGTTTGAAAAAGGTACATGATAAAGTCTGTACTATTCTATCCGAAGTTGACATTACCCTAGGGCTCGTTAAAGGAAATAATAGATTGATTTTGAAACATTTGGGCATTGCCTATAAACCTCATTCAATTACATAAGGGTATTATAGGGTATTTGTAAGATAAAAAGAATATCTGTATAATATGTCTGCAGGGATTACATTGACTCAAAGGTTACTCAAATTCCGATGGCACTCACAGGTATTTAAACATGCATGAGGGTAATGTACAGAGTGGAGGATTAGTTTTGTAGTTGAGTTATGTATAATAGTTTGCGTTTGGTTCACAACATCTCGGCCATATGACGATCGTTCCAGTCATGAGAATATATTTCAAAATGTTATGACAAAGATGTGTTTATTATCGGTGGGGTAGGATACGCACACAGAAATCTGGTATTATTAATATCACTATTTGATATAGATACATAAACATATACGCTTATGACATAGTTGGAATCGTACAATGGACGCTTTGTTTATAATATTTTCCCCACCAAAATCTAAGGATCTAAGGCAAGAAGAAGACGTCGAGATGGTAAAACCTCCAAAACAACATGACGTCGAGGGTAGATGGTACCCCATTTCGCCTCAACAAGTAGATGGAAGATCCTAAGAATAACGGTCATTCCCTGATGGCATCTACAGCAATAAGACGTCGAGGGGAGATGGTAAGAAGACCGTCGAGGGTAGATGGTAACCCATTTCACTTCAACACGTAGAGGGTAATTAAGAAGACTAATCATTCGTTGGGGTCCTTCACAACAAGACATGGAGGTTAGATGGTAAGAAGATTGTCGGGGTAGATGATAACACATATTACCTCAAGGCGTAGATGGTAGATGGTAAGATAAACAGTCTTTCGCTGAGGGCCTCTACAGCAACATGGTAAGACGACTAATCATTCATTGGGATCTTCACAACAAGACGTCGAGGGGAGATGGTAAGACGACTCATCATTTATTGGGATCTTCACAACAAGACGTCGAGGGTAGATGGTTAAACGACCAACCATTCACTGATGGCCTATTCAGCAACAAGACGTCGAGGACAGATGGTAATTATAAGAAGACCAAACATTTCTTGGGGGCCTCTACAGCAACAAGACGTCGAGGATAGATTGTACAAAGACCAACCATTCCCCGATGGCCGCTTCAGCAACAAGACGTCGAGGGCAGATGGTAAGAAGACCAATCATCCAATCATATATATGTGTGTGTCTGTGTCTGTGTGATCAAAAACATATTGTATTATACCCCGTGAGTGTACAACCCTTTGCATCCCAGAATGCAGGGGCCATAAATTTCTTCACTGATCTTGAATACTTGAATTTCGTTGGTGCCGGAGAATTTGAATTGTGCCATTCCACGGATTGACGTTTCTACTCGGGATCATAGTGAAAGACCTGTTACTAATCTCTTTTTGAATGATGAAATCCTCCTCATGCAATAAGCTGTACATTTTCTCTGGCAACGTCAATTCTCTTTTCCTTAACATCATAATTTAGAAACCTTGGCACCCATAGAGGAGGTATTGTATTCATCCGTAAATGTTAATGAATAACAGTTACAGTGGATCCATGTCTTCCCCTAGTTCAGCAATGGTAATACGTCTATCTGAGGGTACAAGTATTTCTATCTCGTGGATTGAATCTTCATTGATGGAAGTTGAGGGACGTCCAGACCTTGGGTCATCCTCAATTGTTGTTCTCCCAGCCTTTAACATAGCTTCCCAACGTTTAACAGTGTAATAGCTTGGATACTTATCCCCATACACTTGTTTGTGACATGCGGTCATTTCTTTGGGACTACTTTTCACTAAAATAAAAAACTTGAAGAATTCTCGGTACTCGTTCTTTTCCATTTCTGTGTCCATTTGGACCCCAACTGGCTGTCACTAATATACAAACGGTATTAACGGACCAAATACACTTGCAATGAACTACTCAAACAATGTACTACATTGACTGGCTCACTTTGTTTTATGGCCCATGGTTGAAAATTAGACGGGCTTTAACCAGCCCTCGGAGTATCAATGGGAGATAATAAAAAGATCAAAAACCCTATCTCTACTTACAATGATCTCTGATTTAATAAATCAGAGAAAATACAGAAGTGGCTTACTTAAGCAACTGTATTACAGTAATAAAATGCAAGTAGCTAAAAACAACACTTTGTTACCGACAACATGCATAGACAGCCAATTAAGTCGGTTGCTACCAATCAACACCTGAGTTAATTAACTAAACACTCTAATGATTGAATAACCTCGGTTAGGTAAAATAACGGGTCATAAACACAGAAGGCCTATCCCCAAAATAAGACCCTTTTGACATTAAAATAGACGAGAACGTTCGAATTTCAAACTAGACTAATAAGACTAAAGACTAAGAAAGCTACTTGACAACCACGTAAATGTTTGTTATCTACGGATAAATAGAAAAACAACGGAGATGAAAACCCAGCTAATAAGTTTAGCTCAAAACAACCAGAGTACATTTGTAAGTCAGTACGAGATAAAAAGTGCCCCGTAATCACTTTCTAACGAAACCTGAGTTTCGAGTGACGACATAGTAACATAGCGACCCGTAGCGGCCTAGCGAATCCTGGGGCGTAAAGACACGAGATCTAGGTTTTAAACTGCAAGGACAGTACAATAACTAAACTGTTACAGATTTGAGGTAAATCTAGCCTGAGAACATATTAAAGAATAAACTATCAGTAACCAACACAATATAAAAAAGGCTACAGATTGCCAGCAACCAAAAAGTTAGGCCACCGTGCTAGGGACCGTGGGGACTTACGATATGTTGCTACCTTCACGGTTCCCCAGCAGGATGTACACAATCCCATCAGCTGCTGGCTATGATAGGCGAGTTTAGCCATCAATAAAATAACAAACATGCTGCAATTAAAACCAAGGTAGGAATAACATACTTTGAAAGTCATAGTCTTACAATACCCTCTCAGGGGGACAATATTTTTTTCAGTACTTCAACCCCCGTCAAGGGCACAGCCATAAACAATCTCGGTTAATAATTATACAATACCAATTTATAAGAACCATCTATTTAAATCAAAATCTATCAATAGGTTCTATTTCCAATAGTTCTAAAAACCAATAATTAAATGAGAGCTAATATTGTTAACAAGATCCTTCAGCGATGAAACTTTGAAATATTGATCCCTTGTGATGGAAAACTCAACACGGTCAAGCAGGACATGCTTGACCGTGATTCTCTCATCACAAGGGATACAGAATGGAGGATCCTCACCTTTTAATACACTATTCGTGTGTTTATCTGCCGTGGTCAATACGTGGTCTTCGTGAAATGACCTCATCAAATCTGGACTGACAACCGAAGTAGGTGTAACCGATATTTTGTTTGATTTCATGTAATTTATTAATACCTACTTCGGTGTCCCACTTCTTTTGCATGAGATCTCGGATGTAACATCTGATCACAATTTTGTAATCACTGTATGGAATCAGAAGTGGTGTCACATATTTGTTGAGTGCTGCTTTTGCATCAGCATCAGCAAGTGTATTTCCTTTTATGCCCACGTGACTAGGCAACCAACAAAAGACGATGTCGTATTGGCCAGTTACACATGCACTACTGTACCATAAACCATGGTACCATGGCTTGTTATATTAGGTTGTCCCAGAAGTTTTACGTATGAAAGACTGTGTGCTTACATGTAATATCGTAGTTTTAAATACCACTGTTCTATGGGAAAACGATGATGCCACATTTGATATTGTATATCATTTTGTATGATACACTGACTATAGGGGTAGATATTTATCTTAAAGTTATTGTTCATACAGTGTGTGTTAGTTGTACTGATGGCCAAAAACAATCAAGATTGCATGAGGAGCAGTTATTTTATCCATGGTCCCCACGAGGTGCCACGTGGAATAAGATTAAACATGGTACACGGTCGGTACATAAGGAAACAGGTATCGAAGGCACGTTGGCGGGACATAGGTCTCAGAAGGGAGTCTATAGAAGTGTTATATATCCTCTGGCTCAAGAAGGTATCATATGTATCTAAATGTGCATTATATAGTTCATACAAATTAGATAACAGCTGGGATATAATAATAATAATAATAATAATAATAATAATAATAATAATAATAACAACAACAACAACAATAATATTTATATATACTGACCAGACAGGTTTTGTAATACGGTACGTGACAGTTTGACAGTGATTCGCCTTATGGTATTATGTATTATGTTTTAGATTAGTCAGGACTTGACTCAAAGGCAGGCGTTAGAGGGGATGGGCAACCTACGCCAGCAAGATGCCAACTGGACACTGCAGTCCCATTATCATTATCGTTATTATGTCGTTGGAGTTGTGGCTGAAACCTGAACGTCTTCGTGCGACGACATCTTGGAATAAACGTTGTGGATCCTGATCTTGTGTCAATATCA